GTAGAAAACATTAATTGTAGTTTAGCTGTATTAAAAGTTCTTTGGATTGATCTGCGTAACTTCAGTCTTAGTATTTCACTAGGTTCATCGCCTCTGAATTGTAAGCGTATATACAGAGGCATTTTTTTCACGGTTAGGCATTCTCTGTGCTCTCTCTCATTGGCTATGTTTTTATTTATAAATTTCTCAGGATATCCATTTTATTTCAGGGTCGTGTGTAATGCCTTTGTTTCATCTTCGACCGTATCTAAAGAGCATATGGTCTTGATTCTATGGTGCAGTGTCTTGATCAGGTTCCTTTTGTATTACAGAGGAACAAAACTAACAAAGTTTGTATATTGGCCCATCCAAGTAGTTTTCTTGTTTATGTTTCTTATTAATGACTATTCTACTTCCATTTTATTTCTCACATGTAAATTTTTTTGACGAGTGAACTGTATTGAATCGTTCGAGTGTTTCTATCAAGTCCGTATGGTCGTTACAAAGGATAAACGTATCGTCCATATATCGGCAGTAAAACGAAAACTTATCGATCTGTTGTGCCAGTGGGCCGTTTTCTAGTTTAGAGAGAAAAATGTCAGCCAATATGGGACCTAGGGATGAACCCATCGCGACACCATCTATTTGTCTATAGATTTCATCGTTGAATTTGAAATGCACATTCACAGTACATTTTTAGTAGTAATTCTTTGATGATCTCCACAGGGAATGTAGTTTCTACTTCTTGTTTTCTAAGTTGTTCACAAATATATTCTACAGTTTCTCCGAGTGCATAGTGTTTTAATGTTTTTCTGTTCGGATGAATGTGATTACAGCGTAATGACTCATAGAACATTTTCGGATAATGAGATGATTCAATACAGTTCTTTATAAATTCCAATGATGTTTTCGTTTCCGTGAACTTTGCGTTATACTTCAGGAACACATTGAATGTCTTCAACGCAATTGGTTAATCACAAGATTTTGATCGCTGATAGATACCCATTTACCTAGGTTATACGGACTACCGAAGGTACATAAACTGGATATCCCATTGAGGTCAATTTCGGACATGTACAATTCCCCTTATTATACTGTAGCAAAGTGGTTAGTAACTATTTTAAAACCACTCCACAAACACCTAATGAAGCATAGCATTAAGGATGTATTCCAATTCGTCGACAAGATTAAAAACATAAACACGAAAGATCAAACGATGATGTCCTTTGACGTAACGTCATTGTTCACAAATGTCCCACTCAGAGAAACTGTAGAATATATTTGTGAACAACTTAGAAAACAAGAAGTAGAAACTACATTCCCTGTGGAGATCATCAAAGAATTACTACTAAAAATGTACTGTGAATGTGCATTTCAAATTCAACGATGAAATCTATAGACAAATAGATGGTGTCGCGATGGGTTCATCCCTAGGTCCCATATTGGCTGACATTTTTCTCTCTAAACTAGAAAACGGCCCACTGGCACAACAGATCGATAAGTTTTCGTTTTACTGCCGATATATGGACGATACGTTTATCCTTTGTAACGACCATACGGACTTGATAGAAACACTCGAACGATTCAATACAGTTCACTCGTCAAAAAAATTTACATGTGAGAAATAAAATGGAAGTAGAATAGTCATTAATAAGAAACATAAACAAGAAAACTACTTGGATGGGCCAATATACAAACTTTGTTAGTTTTGTTCCTCTGTAATACAAAAGGAACCTGATCAAGACACTGCACCATAGAATCAAGACCATATGCTCTTTAGATACGGTCGAAGATGAAACAAAGGCATTACACACGACCCTGAAATAAAATGGATATCCTGAGAAATTTATAAATAAAAACATAGCCAATGAGAGAGAGCACAGAGAATGCCTAACCGTGAAAAAAATGCCTCTGTATATACGCTTACAATTCAGAGGCGATGAACCTAGTGAAATACTAAGACTGAAGTTACGCAGATCAATCCAAAGAACTTTTAATACAGCTAAACTACAATTAATGTTTTCTACACGTCAAATGGTCACTCCGAGGTTGAAAGATAAGTTGCCTAGACTAGCCATTTCTTTCTGTATCTATCATTTCAACTGCTCCTGTGGAGCAAGTTATACTGACAGATGCTCTAGGAAGTTGTATATTCGGGCTCGTGAGCATCCCTCAGTGTGGTTAAGCAAAGGTGTAGTTAAAACGGTTAACAGCTCCATTTCAGCCCATTTAATTCAGAGGGGACATGCAATAATCTTTCGCAATAATAATTTTTTATGAGATACAATAATCATAGGAATGATAAGTTGTTCTTAGATAAATTAATCCTATTTATCTAAGTATTTTATGTCATAATTTCTGCGGAATTCTACTCTATCCACTTTAGCTTGGACAAGCGGGTAGTAGTACTAGCCGTTATACATAAATTGTGGCCGGAAGCCAAGTACGTATATCTGTATTTGTAAATACTTGGTAAATGAGTTACTTCAAATATATGAAAATGTAGATAATGGCTGATTTGATAAAGTAAGCAGCAGAAACCAACAAATAGATTATTCTGTAATATATGAAGCGCCTATTGGGAATTATAAGATTATTGAGACCGTTTGAAGTAGGTGTAGAACGTAAACTGGACAAATCACTACACTTATTCTTATGGATACCAAAAGAAGAGAAATGAAGCATAATCTATAAGATAAACTGCCCCAACTTAGAATATCATATCGGATAAAGTGGATACCATCTTCATCGTATGAAAACTAACTAGGTGTTAAAAATCTAGACGTATTTTTGCTCAGATCAGTTTAGAGAAACGATTATGGACATATTTTCAATGTGGAAAATTTTGAAATATCGGACATATAGAATATTACGAATATTGTAGGATATTTATAATGTTTACATTCACGGTCACTGAAAAAAATCAGTAAACTTATCGAAATCATCCCAATTTATTAACTAATTAGGAAAATCTTGGAAAAAATTCAAGGTCAGAAATCGGTTGACAATCAAAATTAATGTTCAGAAAACGACAGGATTATTGTCAACAGCAACCAACCAAAATTATGATTGAGAGAATAAACTGTCAGTCATATGTGGAGAAATTCGAATACCTAACTTTTATTTGGAATTTGAGTTGACAATGTTGTCTGCAAGGGCAAGGAAAGCATCGGAAGTAAACTACCCGGGTCAGAGAACGAAGCACTGTCTGATTCATTTACGTGAACTACAAATCTTTTCTACCATCTTAAAGTGATCACATTCATATAAATTGTGTTAATCTAGAACCTAACTACAAATTGTAAATGTCAATGATTGTCTTAATTGATGTGAAGAGGAGAATGGAGAGAATGACAAACCACGAATGATATTCTTTGGGATTTATACGAATATTCATCAATATTAGAACGAATAGTCTGACAAAAATTGGGCGCCGAGTATAGAGAATTCATTGTATGTGAAAATTATATTTGAAATAATCTCAGCAATTGAAATTTAAAATAATTCCAACGTTTCGTCCAGCAAAATTGTCCGGACTTCTTCAGGGCAATAGTCAAAATCATCAAAGAAATATATAGCATTTAACAATTAAATCTATACTGTTTTAATTCAATCATATTTGGATGTTGACTTTAGTAAATAGGATAACATGAGTCAGTTAAATGCAAATCGTGTGAAAAGTTCACGATGTGAAAATAAATGACTGAACGAATTGTGTGTGTATGTATGTGTAAGATTGAGTCACTAACAGTTGATATTAGATGTTAATATGTTTTTATATGAAGGAAAAAATAAATGAGCAAGTTGAAGGTTGAAAAAGTTTCTTTAGATCAACCGAAGATTTGGGAACACTTCTCAAGTACTGTTAGTGTTACTTTCTGGACGTTTCTTCTACATAAGCTGCATTACAATCATGACATTTGATCCTACAGACAATATTTTGTTGTCCTTTCTTTGGGAACCTATCCTTAACTTTTACTAATCCCGATCTAATGGTGTCATAAGCCCGAAAATACACTTTTATATCATGCTTGCTTGGAATCCTTTTGATTTCTTCCGATGTTTCACTACGGTATGGGATAACCACGGTGGATTTCCAATGCTTTGGGATGTTGTCTTGCCGGACGTTATGTGCCTGCTATATCCCATAAATCATAAACTTTTTATTAATTTATAAATTACTGACTCATTTTCTTCTACTCCGACATTATTGTAATTTAAACGTGATTCTTGTATTTTTCTAAGGGGATAATCGCTCTTTTTTGATGTTCAATTGAAGTGGAATAATATTTCCGAGCATTTCTCCACTTGTTTAGTGAATGAGTGTTGCATATAAGAGCGTGATTTTCGTTGGACATTTAACTTCAGTCATCTATATCTTCTAGGAACACGCCATTGCAGAGCATTTCAACTTGTTAGATGAAAAAATCTAACAGGGTGAAATTTAGAGCTTGAAAAGAAATAATCAATGAAAATTATGGTCTTATATACAGCATTCACGAACTGAATTAATGGAAAACTAGACCAACTTGTTCTGTTATTCCATAATTATATGACCTCCCTAAAATGAAGAAGGTAGATATCCCTTTGTGTCCCATATTAGATATGAATAACTCGTTATTTCATGTTATCGCTAAATGTCTAGCTGAAATTCTACGTCCAGTTAGAAATCAACTCAATATATACACGGCGGCTGAGTCGCATGATTTGTTGATTCAATAGCAGGTGTCAGTGTAACAGGGAACAAAATGGCTTCAATAGATAATATATTTCTTTGATAAATTTAGTTAATGATGTAACACCACTCATCCGTATATAATTTTCCCCAGAGAATTTTAACATCGGTATAGTAAGATAAAACATCAGGAAAAGTTTAACATATTACATAAAAACTTTATTTTGCTGGGAAAATAAAATAAGATTATTAAAATGATACCTGGTATAATAGGAATTAAAAATTGAATAGAATGTATGCACATAGTACTAATAAAATGGAATTTGAGAATGAAGAACGAACTTACTTTCATATAACTAATGTTTAAATCTTTTCTGGACAAACCACGTCGTATATTCCTTCTTAAATAAACATCATAATCACGTACAATACGTCCAATTACATCAGTAGTAGAAATTCCTTCTGTACGTTGAGTTACAAGAAACCTTAATAAAATGATAGAAATGAGAATTTTTTGACAAAGACTATTAAAATGAATTCATTACACTATAACATATAAGTACTATCTAAATGAAATAAAAATAGAAAATATTAAATGAACTAGTAACACTTCAATTATAGAGGATTAAACTGGACAAAAAATCTTTATAGACAATAAAAAGATATTATTCTTGCATTGTTCCGTTGTACTATTTAAACTTGGATTAATTTTAATTTGGTTATTTATTCTCTGAAGAAGTGACTTACACTAAGTCACGAAACGTCAGAAAATCTAATTTTCTACTCATTGGGATATTACAAATATATTATTTATTTATAATAAAAAGATAGTTAATATCTGAATGTTTTTGAATACATTTTTAATTAGTGAATTACATTAACTTCAGTAATCAGAAGACACTGTTGGAATGAGATACAACAGTTGTTATATAATAATCCAATAAGATTCATTAACTTGGATAATATAAGTGAATAAGTTAATTTGTAAACACAAAGATAGTAATTAGATCATTAATTAATTTAATATAATATGGAGACTCTGAGGAATGCAAAAAACGAAATTTTATAAGCAAGACGATATAGTTTGAGTATCTTCAACAGTGATGATTAGGAGAAAAGTTAACTAGTAAACAAATGTATTAAATTTTTTTTGAAAGACCCTACAGAATAGTAAATTATAAAAAATGCTTGAATATGAATGTCTAGTAAGCACAAAACAAAGAATCATTAGATAAAACTACTAGTGTGACTGAATAATTTGATGGCTTAATTAACTTGGCTTTTAATCATTAAATCAGTGGTTCAAATTTAGTAACGGTTAACTCAGTTTCAGCAATCTGATACCATTGTTGGTCATATTATTTAGTTCACTGAGGTAAATTAGTCTTATTAGTAAGTGAAGACAACGTACTTGGGATCTGGGAGAATATCGTAACCAATGGTTAAAGATATCGGTAGATATAAGCTCTGAACTGGTGGTGGTAGATTTCAGAAATAATTACTAGTTATTCAGTCTTTCTTCCTGAAGTATGTAGACAACACTTAACATTTTATACTACTGACGATATCGTTGCTACTTCTACCATTCTGATATTTATATTGGTAATTCTATCGCACTCTACTGATAAGGTGTGGCAGATTCAGCCTATGCGTGTACGTAAATAATTAATTTTAATAACTTAGTGCAACTCAGTTTGCGTACTCGACTTTGATTTATAATATTTTATGTGAACATCGATCATACCTTTTTGTTAACCGAACCGAGAAAGACTTGAACTACTAACCTAAAGTTTGGAAGACAAAAGCTTCTACTAATAAACTTCTATTTAATTATGTAATGGATTCTTTGACATACTAGATGGATGAAGACTAGATACATTTTTGGCAAATTAAATGTCATTGGGTGGATATATATATTAACATTATTAAAAATAAACTTGTGGTAAATTACAGCTTAAAACCTATTGAAATGAATATAATAGGATTTGGAAAAAAACATTTCCACGAAAAAAACTCATCTTAGTACTTTTTCAAGTTCATGGATAGTTAAAATCTTTTTGTAAGTACAAAAAAGGAAACAAAAAACAAAAGGAATAAAAAAAACTAATTCAGTTTTAGGGAGACTCTAAAGATTAACACAAGCCTTAGCCAATCATCAATTCTGTTTAAAATATAGCCTGGTACAAATGTGAGTTAGACCTAATCGCCATACCAAATCAGAACAGATAGATGAAATTAACAAAATACATGCTAAAAGGGTCAGAATAATTGTAGTAGCAGTGATATTGAGAAAGACTAAAAATGGAAAATATGCTTCGAAAAGGTAGCATGCACCTCAATAAGTTGCTCTCAGACTATGTGGTCAAGCTCCCAAGTAATCAAGTTCACTTTAAATCCAGTTTCTCTTTTTCTTGTGTGCCTACCAACTAGGCTCAATTCAACAGCCAATTGTTTAGTAAACACTAATTTTACCCAACCTTTTCTTATTTCAGCAAACATAATGAGTCATTGTGAGCATGCGTCACACACGTCTCAGCTGAGGAAGATTCACAGCCTCATCAATCTAATTTTCATCACTGCCTAATATATATAACAGATCAACGAGTAATTTTTTGTTGACATTTGATTTATAGTTGTGTAGAACTCGACCGCATAATTTCAAATGACTATTTCAAATAGTGCCTAGCCTGTCGTATGCCCTGATGGTGTTTTCGTTACTCTCATGTTGTCTGGTCTGCCAAGGGCGATGGGACAGTGTATGATGCTATTGTTGCGTGCTAGGTTCAAAGAGAATTGTATGCTATATGCATGCAAATCCGCCCCATTATTGTTCCTATTTGCCCCCAAATGCCCTGGTATGACCGAGAGTGGGGTGGGCTCGCCCTCCCTCTCGAAATGCTTTTACACAGCCATGCGTATACAGCCTCTGCCAGGGAAGTCTTACTCACTGCCTTCTCGTGGCGGAGGTGTTGTCTACGAAAATGAGAGGACGAAAAGTGAATGTCCGGCACTTTAACCGGATCCCAAATCAATGGTGTATATGGGCTCCAGTATCCTGTAGGAACAAATGGTGTATGAACCATACGTTGGTCACCGGCTACCATGGGACTGCATCTCCTTACGATGCTCCACTACCTAGTGGGTCAGACCTCTAGGTCAAAGGCTCGGAGTGTGGCCCCCTAAGAAAACCACCTGCTTCGGTCTGGACACCCGGGCAGCATCACTGCCCGCACACAAAATTCCGTGTGGTGCATATATATTTGGTGCCCTCTTGTACCAATATTTGTGTTCAAATAAATAATAAATAAATAAAATTAATAAATTTCAAATAGTCGCTGAGGGAAATTTATGAAAAATGAGAAATTTATGATTAATAGGATGAGCAGAGTAACTATGACTATTTTTAGAGTGAAACAAACAATATTTGTGAATAAATAAATAATATATTTGTAATATCCCAATGAGTAGAAAATTAGGCGAGACTCTAATTTAGGGACGAGCCAATCAGAAGCGTTTGAGCCGTTTCAAGGTCACGGAACCAAGTTTAACACCTGATGCTCACATATGATCGGTTTACAGCGGATTTTAGAGAAGGGGTGATTATTGAGAGGCTACAAGGGATAGGATTACTAAAACGTTCTTGTACGTGAGACTGCGCTTATCAAATGACTGCAGTAAAGTGTGCAAATAACCGTGGTGAGATTATATTTCGTTGTCCTTTATGTTGGAGGAGAAAGTCTGCTAGAACGGGGACTTTCTTTGCTCGATTGCTACTGAAACTGAATCAGATTATGATAATAGTTGCAAATTGGGTAATATATACACCAGTAACACTGGGTGCGGCGTTTGCAGTTGTTTATGAAAATTCAGCAGTCCAGTGGTATGAGTACTGCCGTGCAACTAAAATAACACTTGTACACCAATCATTCGGAGGAGTAGGATGTATCCTGCAGACAGATAAAACGGCAGTGAGAAAGCGAAAATACAACAGGGGACGCAGTATAAAGTAGGATTGTGTAAGTAGCATTTCCGTAAATATACTCGACAGGTACTTGGAATTTATGACTTTTTATACCGTATGCAATATGATTTCAAAACATCTGAAACTTTAGCAAACATTGATAAGTTTTTAAATCATGTAAAAGAAGTATATTCCCTGTAATCCATTAGTATCTTCTAATATATTTCTACGTTATACTAGGTGTCTTCTGATTGGCTATTATTCTCAAGGTCACTCAAAATTCGTTCAAAGGTCGTCCCTAAATTAGAGTCTCGCCGAAAATTAGTTTTTCTGACGTTTCGTGACTTAGTGTAAGTCACTTCTTCAGAGAATAAATAACCAAATTAAAATTAATCCAAGTTTAAATAGTACAACCGAACAATACAAGAATAATATTTGATCAATCAAAAAACAGATATGAACAAGTTGATGTCATGTCATTTTTGTCAAGGTGATTCATAAGTGATATGTATGTGAATTTGCATGTGTATGTATGTGTGCAATGTTTAAGAATGAAAAATTGTGTGACCTTTATGGTAAGATGGGATAGAGTTTAAATTTGTAATATGATAGTGTGAATTTGTAAATATGATCAGACTGAGTGGCTAGGATAAATGGTCCAAGTAGGATGTATGGTAAGGCCTTCTTTTCTGTTGAGAGAAGTAGGATTAACATAGCATTATATGGAACGCCTCAGCTACCCTTCTTTCTTTGTAGTTGGAAAAGCCTTTTTGCAATATTTTGATATTTTTAAAATCGAAATCTTGACTAGAGCCAAAGAACATATTAGGCACACAAAGAAACCTCCTAACAATCCTGTAGAATTGAACCAACTTCAAATTAAATCGGCAATAGCACTTCATGCCATTTTCAACAACCACCAAATCGATTTCATAGTTGACAAGACGTACCTTGAGGGAATGGATTCCACCTGTATGATATCAATCCACGTCACCCAATTACACGGTGCAAGGCGTCATTATTGAGCTGTTCAGTTTGTGGCTACATTATAGATACACCTTCCAAAGAGTGTTAAATAACACGAAAACTAGGTTCAAAGTTTACAATCGACTATTTCAATCACTTAACATTAATTTATTTTAAATGCTATTCGTATTCTATCCCAATTTATAAAAGGAAAAATTTGTACAAACCTACTGATAAGTGAGGTAACTACGCTTACAACAATTACATATATTTATTGTTATTGTCATGACATTGAGAAATCAAGATTAAATAAGACGATAAACAACTTTTTCCCAGAAAATCATGATTGAATTGAAATCTTTTTACCCTTGATTGGAAATGGATAATTTATTTGCACATCAATAAAGGCATTATTTTCATCGAGGCTTTCATTAAACGTTAAACTTTCAGGTAACAATTACATAAATGATAGAAAGTTTTTTAATTTAAAAATCATTTAATTGATACTATATTTATTGTACAATATAAATCACTTTAATATTTTCATTTTTTTTAAATTCTAGTAATCATCAGTAATTGCAGTCAGCTGTTAAATGTCTTATATTTAACTAGATAACATAATAGAATATTTTTCTGTGCAAGATAAACTGATTTTATTTAAGAGTTGAAAACTTACATGCCAGCATCTTTCAATGGTTTGTACACATCTTCACTATCAGGTGATGCGTATGGAATGTCATCATGTGCAACAAAATCAATCTGTGAGAAATTAAAAATTGAAGATATAAATCAAATTAACAATGAAGATATTTTTTCTAGATGTTGTGTATGACAAATGAATCAGACTGATGAGTTTATGCATGAAGATGTCAACTACACAAAAAAGTGACATAAATGATAAGACATAAAAAGTAACGAAATTATAACCACGATAAATAAAAAGTAGAAATGTTAATAAAGACTTTATTTAATTACATTTTAATTGTTACCTGAGAATGAAATGTAGCATATTAGAAAAACCACGACAAACTATGCTGGTTTCAATTTTTGATTTAATCTGATGCATAACCTCAGAGAATTTACCCATATATCAACAAACGGTAATCCAAGGGAACCATTCTCGATTGAATACAGTTATGCATAAACTGACCACATATTAGCCACACATACGCAGAACGTATTAAAGTCATTCAAGAAATTAAAGAAACGCAGGATAAATAATGGTTGAACCTCAGTGGTCTTCGTATTGCATTTTGTTTGTGAACAGGTCAGTTGTCCATTTACTTGTTGAATACACTGCATAAAAATCCATCTTGTTCTAATACATGGCCGTGAAATATATATATATATATATATATATATATATATATATATATATATCAAGTAGAAAACATTCGCAGGTTACAAGTATACTCACATATGATGAAACTACTAAGTGAGTAATGACGATGTTAGGTATCGAGTATTAAGTAAGAAGCACATGAGAATAATTAAGCAAAAATTACTTAACAAGTTAAATCGATAAAAATACAAACTACTACACTCTTGATTATGTAACTCCTTTATCAACTACAGATTTATGTGTTCGGCTATGAGTCACATTATTTATAAAGTCCAGTAAATACCATGCAGCTCCCCAAATGGAAGTAGATGAAGCGAATTATGAACATGTGATGTACTGGTTTTAAGTTGAGTGCTGTTAATCATAAATCCACAGAAGTAGCAAAATGATTGAATATTAAAACTCATTCGGTTGATCATAAACAACGTAGAGCCTGGACATGAATATGTCTTATTCCAAGTTGTCACACCAAATCAGCACAAGATGAGATCAATGAGATATGTAGTAAAAAAAATTCCAAAAAACAATAACAAACATATAACAATTAATATCGCTTGATTAATTACCTTGTGTTTCTGCAAAAATTCATCAGTAATAGACCAAGGAGCATCATTTACAACTTCATCCACATAACGACAATGTCTTATAGCTTCATAACGCTCTTTCTCATTCATGACTGTACGACCCTTATAATGGTGAACATCTGCATCATTAGAGACTGAGATAAAATTGCAGCACGTGAATCAAAGTAAGAATTAATCAGTACAAATATTTATTGAAAAAAAATGAAATGATATCATTTGTTTACTAGAAATAAACAAAACAAGTTACAAAACGTAACTTGGTAGTCTTACATGTCACATAATGCGTAAACTTTAAGCAATATCTAACAGGTACACTGAAGAGAACAGTTTACTGTCAAAATCAAACCTTCTTTTATTGATGTGACTAAGTGAAAATATGATAAAATGCTAACAAAACTTATTGAGATTTATCATTGTCACTTGAGAATTATCTCTTAAGATGTTTTACTACCAATAATTAAATCAAACTTACCACCAACAATAAGGTATGTATCAGGGAAGGCACACTTCGCCTGCATTAACTGACGAGCATGGCCAGAATGAAACATATCATATGCTCCATCAGCATACACACGGACTGGTCTAGGAGCTAAAATAATAAGACAGTAAAAAATGTATGAGTTTTAGTTGGAATTTTTCGGAGTATCGACAAGATTTATGCATATAGATGTATAGTTGACTGAACAATATAAAAAAATTACCATTAATTCTAACGAGGTGGTGGTTATTTGTCTTCGCTTTGGTCCTACGCTTTTGAATTATTTTATAATTTTTTCTCCACGAACGCACACTTGCCTTCGCAATTATATTTTCAATATCCAATCTTCTCCATTACCAATAATACTGTTGCGACCTATACTACTCCAACATCGTATCTTGCTGTACTGATATGGTGTGGCAATTTGAAATGATATGCATATGTCAGGCTCTACGTTGCGTATGACTGACTGGCTCAGTAGTTAAAGCATTCAACGTTTAGTTATTGGTTTCCAGGTTCGACGCCTCCTTCATCTACTTTGGCTTTCAACATTCACATAGTATCGCTAGCCTTTAAAGTATGGCTTGAAACTAAGTACACTTATCTGCACTTCGTAAATGAGTTAAAATGAATACTGTTAATTTAATTCATGAAATATTTCTCCCAAATACTTGCTAGAGATACTATAATTAGTAGGCATACACGTAAACAAAAGGAATAAGAAATCTGTGAGCTAAAGCGTAGATCGCATCGTAAGTCATAACGGACCAATGGTAATTAGTCATCTCGTTCGTGTTTCTAAACAGCATTTGTCAACACAGATATACTACAAACATGTTAACCGAAACAGGATTACATACATAAAGATGATTTTGTCAAAATTTATGCACTTCATTGATTAATTAGCGCAGAGTAAAAACACAACGAAAGAGCGGAAGTATATGGAAATAAACAAAATTTTAGTAAATAAAAGATAAGTATACATAAACCATAAGTATAAGTTTCGAAATAGATAAAGAACGACAGAGCATGTGCTACTATATCGTAGTTAGAAGTTGCGTATATGTAACAATGAATATGGTAATTCATCAATTTTTAACATTTCGACGATTGTGGAAAGAAAATTTACATCTACAAAATATCGACCGGTAGCTTTATACGCTGATGACATTTCTAAGGGGTGATCATCCTTCCCTCATTCAACCTACTTTCACCTACGTCAACACTACATATCGAGGCGACGAAACTTGAACCGAGTTTCAAATTTAACATAGAATGTAGGACAGTTGGTTAATTTTAAAAATATTGGAAAGCATAAGTTTAGCTCCTTATTTATTATATTTCTGTATCTCAGAGAAGTATTTTATTTGAAGTTCATATTATTACCGCAATAAAAATAATCAAAAAGTATTTTGGACTTATTAGCACTGTATAGTTTCTCCGTTAATTGTTGCTAATTTATCCATTTTAATTACGACGACAACAACAGTTAGTTTGATTTAATGGTGTAGACGCTTAAACCATTGAAAATCAGTTGCTACTGGGTTTTCCTACCATTGTATTGTGAGTTGATGTAAGGTAGACCACCGTTAAAAATCTGGAAGCACTAAACGGCCGTTTTGTCCTAGTATGAAACTTCTCAGCAGTGCGCATCTACGATCCCGCGTACAGGACTCTAACCCAAGACTTTTGGTCTCGCACGCGAACGCTTAACCTCTAGACCACTGAGCCGGAATACAACGGTTATAATGTCTAACCTCAATCGATTCATCTTTTTGTCTGAGGTAGATACCTGTCTTTACCCAATACGGATTGGACTTCACTGGTCACGGCTCCTCACTAGAACCCTAGGAAACCCATCTTGAAGCCAATCACTAGTGAGCACATGATTGTTATTATAATAGGGGTTTGTGGAGATTGTAGTGATTTTACTAGTTGAATTCATAAGTCGACTATGTCAACGTGCAAAATAATTAAAATTGAAAAGATGCAATATTTATCAGAAGCATATAGAGGGGCGAATGTGTTTGTATGAAGTTAAACATAAAAATTATGCATATTTAGATAAGGAAAATTAAGCAAAATGTGACTCTACCTTGACCAGATTTAGCCATTTCTAAAGTAATTTTAATTGTATAGTCGCAAGCATGGTTTGCGGCGATAGCTAATGGTTCGTACCAAAATGGAGCAGGGGAACGATACGCCAAGGAATGTAAAGTCGACTGAGGTAGTAAATTATTATCACTAGTTATTAATGAATGATTTCCAACCTTAGCCTCATTGGAAGTAACATTATCCAAGTTTGATGACGTAGTAGCGCAAGATACTTCAGATGTATGTATGTTATTTTCGTTATTCTGAAATGAATTAGATTGTGCTTGCTGTGTGATTTCAGGTACTTTAGAAGTTGTTAAGTTATCTGTCGAGTCTTGAACGGATGATTGTTCACTAAGGTATGTCCCATGATAATTATATTTCCTACCATTTATAGCTTCAGCAGATGATTCGTGATCAGTTGATATGATGGGGATCATTTTACGATAATAAAAGCGAAGTATTTAAACTGTATCTACGTAAATTATGCAGGAAAAAACTGTGTATCAATAGTCTTCTTAATCTGACTGGATTACAAAGGTCTATATAATTAAAAATAATAATTCATATTAGAGTTGTAGCATTATACTCAAATTACATACAATCAACAAATACATAGAACAAATTACAAAATACCAATTGGCATTCTATACTAATACGATACTACAGAGGTGAGATTATCTCAGTTGTTAATAAGTGGAGAAGAAGAAGGAGAAATAATCAAAATAACGTCATTTCAAGGTTAAATGTCTTAAGAAATAAGTCTTACATCATTTAATACGGGCTAAAATTTTCTTTTCGCTTAATGGCGTTATTAACACTTATATGTATTACAGATGGACGTGGAAGATAACATTGTGTTCGGGTTTTTTTTAGAAACATAATTACGATATAAACTAGATATTTTATTTTTAAAAGGTTTTAGTTGTTTGTTTTTTGCTTTACCAGTTGTATAAATCTGATCTAATTACTTAAACTAACGACAAAAATAACTTATTTAAATTATTACAATTCAATGTTTATTCAATTAATGTTTAAAGTAATGTTGATTTACTGGATTTTTGAGTAAATATGAACAATGATATCGATTAAGATGAACTTTATGAGAAATCTAGTAAGAATATGTAACATATGTATAAGTAAACAATTGGATTCAAGTAAAACTAGGGTATATTGCAATTGTAATGAGTATGTACAAAATCATTATTATTGTAAGACATATTTTGAACGGTGAATAATGCACTATTCATTACAAATGACATTAATAAAAAAACGTGTAAAATTTTTACTCAATAGTGTGTAAAACTACGATTACGGCTATGCAGTTACAGATATGAGTCTTGATTCATTTGCTAAAATGTTTCTGAAGTATTGGACGATTTGTTAGAATATATGTTTACTATAGCGATCGCTTTTTTAAAAACGAGGACTAAGTTACGCTTATATAAAATAAGCTCTAACTGTTAGAATTGTACATCTCGAAATTTAGTTAAGAGTCTATACTTGACTGGAAAACTCATGACGAAGTTGCAGACAGCGACAAACTAGATAATAGTCAATTAAGGGTTAGTATTAATGATAATCTTAGGTCGACTTTAAATATTGTAGGATTTTGGAAATGAACATGGTTATATAATTAGTTAAGAAATGACCGATGGGTAAATATAATATGTATATGGAGTAGATGGAAAATGGTTAGCGGTGGAACCAAGAAAATGCGTTTCATTCTACTTAGAAATTGTCAAAAAGCACATATACCAACAACAACTGATCAAACTTCAGTTTAAATATTAACAACAGAGCAATTCAAACTACTAAAAACTAAATAAAATTTAATACGCCCTTTTTTATTAATCGACTGGGGTTTCTGAAAACCCATTAAGTCACATTTGGAACTGCAGTTCATTGGTTTTCGTATTCAAATTACAATTACTGAATCAGAAAAGTGTACCCCGGCTCTAATTACCCAATTTTAAGGAGGAAGCTAGTATAGCTAAACTCAAAAACAGGTTTCTTATATAGTTTATGACATTAATATATAGGTAGTCGTTTGGACGATTTTACATAGCATATTATTTATAGCATACCTAATTAAAATGTAGACTATCAACAAAAGAATCTAGGATGAACAAATAAGTATAGAAAACAGCATCAAAAAGTAAACCGTAAGACAGAAAAAAACAAGGAAAAACATTAATATCTAGAGAAAATATGTGTATATTTACAAAAGTCTGAAAAGAACATAATAATGTGCAAACTAATTGAACGGTTTTAGGAAGCTGCAATAATACTCAATGGCTCTTGTAAATTTTGTACTAAAGCATTCATCTTAGCTCGTAACATTCCCAAACCCACATCTTTGGAGGCATGGAGGCAGAGAAGAACTGACGCTACACGTGTAATTATTAGTCTGCCTTCAGATAATTTCAAGATTATTTCCTGGACAGTATCCTAAAATTAAATAGGTAAGACAAATATTATGTTTTAAATAATTTTATCACATAAAATATTCACGGCATAATTGACACCAAGTTTAAAAAAGTAATAACGTTTCACTTACTTATGAGTAGTAAGGTTATGAGAAGTAACTTCCAAAGCACTGGTAGCTTAAATTCATGGCATATTATGTCTAGAAATATCTAGTACGTTGAAATTTGGCACTTAAATGATAAAAATGAATATATATATATATATATATATATATATATATATATATATATATATATAGGCCGAGATAAACAGGTTTGCATAATTGCATATAGACCATGATTATTATACGAGATGTATTATAAGTACCGACTACCTAAACCTTGAAGCAGGAATGAAGCCCATAACCTAATGTTGGAATTTAGAGCCTACAGACAACAGCCCTGTACGAAATAAAAATATCTGCTCAGAGAACTGAATAAAAGTGTTCATACAAAATTCGGAAATTAACACTTATTACATACACGTACAACCGAAAAACAATTAGGCCTGTAATAAGTTTATCAAAAGCGTTCAGCATCTTATTTACATTTTGGAGTAAAAATTATCAGTTACCTTTGAAATACTGATAAAAGGATGTAATTAGGCAATTAATTACCAGCTGTTTTACTCTGATTTCAAACAATGGTTATACATACTTAACTAAACGGAAAAGTTGAAAAAAATGTCTTGGTAACAAATAATTACTAAAATCAAGAGGCTACACGACGTTGGCACGAAGAGACAAAATTGATACGGCGGATGGTGAAGTAATCAAAAAAATGTTGTAGCAGTAGTAATGAAAAAGACTAGGCAATGAGAATATGGCTCGAAGAGACGAAAGAAGGGATATGTATGAAAAAATGCTGGAGTCCAAGATATAGAGTTTTATTTATTTATTTCTTCGAACACATAAATATTGGTACAAGGGGGAACCAAATATATATACGCCACACAAAACAATGAGAATTTGAAAAGAAAAAACGGCAAGGAGCTTAAAAAATAACAATAACTGACAGATTAGTGTAAGGTAGTGTAATAATAATAATAATAATAATAATAATAATAATAATAATAATAATAATAATAATAATAATGGGGAAAACGGAAATTTACAACCAGAAGAATTCTTTCAGTTAAGGAAGAAGCAACCACTTTTTATGAAGAAAGTAAAAGAAGGTTACAGCAGGATCGCAACTGGCTTCTATTCTGAGCCATATCTGATAACGTCTCTAGCCACTGTGTTGTACCATCTCTCGGACTCCAGCCAGGGAGTCGTGAAGGACCAACAGAAGCCAGTCCTTTGCAGCTTTCTTTCATAACACGACACCATATCATACACCGACCACTTCCCCGCCTTTTCCAACCAGTCCCAGAGTCGGCAAATAATGCACGACGTGGAATTCTCTGAGACGACATTCGTAGAACATGTCCAAGCCACCGAAGTCGGTATTTCAAGATAGTGATACCAATTGGATTGTCGTCTCCGTGTCCGAACACACGATATCGAACCTCTGCATTACTGATATGTTGTTGCCATTGGATGTCAGCAATCGTTCGGAGACGATGATCAAACACAGAGAGTCGTCTAACATCCTCAACTCGGAGAGACCAGGTTTCACAAGCATAGAGTAAAACTGCTCTCACCGTCGCGTTGTAGATCCAACCTTTTACAGCCAGACTAACATCACGAAGGCACCAAAGATGGCCCAGATTGGCATGAGCCGCTCTGTCTTTCACTATGCGTGCATTGATCTCATCACTCACGCCACCACCAGCACTCATGCAGTTATCCAAATACACGAACGTCTTGACTTCTTCTGTCTACTCACTACCCAGGGTGAGTACAGGATTAGAATCCTGTCAGTCTTGTAGAAGTACTTTGCACTTCAAAGGTGCAAAGCACATACCATACCTACGGACATTGATTGCCAACTGATTAAGTGCGGATTGCATGGCTTGGGCATTCTCGCACAGTAAGACAATATCATCCGCATACTCAAGGTCGAGAAGTCTTTCTCCAGGCAACAGATACACACTGCCATTACTTACATCCATCAGAGCTGTTTCCAGAATGTCATCGATGGCAAAGTTGAAGAGGAATGGTGAGATTGGGCAACCCTGCCTAACTCCACTGCTTGAATGGAATAGTGGAGAAAGGTGGTTGTATGCCCTCACTGCCTAAGATGTTAATAAACTTTTCAGGCACACCCTTCTTCAATAGACAATCCCAGAGAACAGTTCTGTCCAACGAACCGAAGGCAGCCCTGATGTCAAGAAACACTACGATTGTTGGCCTTTGATAAATATGACGGTGCTCTAACATTTGGTGGAAGGTGAAGATATGATCAATGCATCCTCGACCAGAACGAAACCCAGCCTGCTCCTCGCGAGTCGGGTTTTGAACAACCTACGAAGTATGACGGAAGCCAATAGCTTGGACGCAATCGGAAGTAGACTTATCACCCGATAGTTGTTACAGGAACGACGTGAACCCTTTTTAAAGATAGGGACAACTATCGACTCATTCCATGACGTTGGTACATTCTCTAGTTCCCAGACCTTTTTGGACAACGTCGTCAGTCCCTTAGTCAGAAGGTCACCACCATCTTTAAAAAAAAAGCCGAAGGTAAGTCGTCTGAGCCTGGTGATTTGTAGCGCTTCAAGAGTTGGAGTTCCTTGCGGACTTCCACCTCATTTAGTGGATTAGTCGTCACCAGCCATGGAGGGCAGGACAGTTTGACTGATCTTACCGGAGCAGATGGCCATATTGCCATCAGTCATCGTTGGAGAGGGTCGACAGAAGATTGTCGCTCATTATCGAGTACCTGCTTGGACTCCGACCATGCCCTAATACGAGCACACCTCACTGGACGCAAAAGAGACACATTAAAAAGATCCATTAGAACTGAACTGAGTAACGGGAAAAGCAAAAGTAAGTTCCAGGAACAACTGAGGTCACACTTGGGTAGTTCTGAAAACAAGGCTGACCCAGATGTTGCTTGGAAAGATATACAATCAGCTGTGGAAACAGCAGTGACATCTATTAGTGATTTAAACCAAAGGGTTACAAAGAACTAATGGATTTCTTCTAGGTCTATTGCACTGATGGATCCTCGTAAACTCATCCCACCAGGCTCTGAACACGATGATGAGCGAAAGCAAATCAGATCTAGGTTAAGCAAGTCTAAGGAACGATCGTGAGCAGTGGTGGGTATCGAAAGCAAAAGAGATGGAAAAGGCGGCGGCTGTAGGTAACACCAGACAGCTCTTCAGACTCATAGAAGAAACTGGAACTAAAAAGTCAGGTGTAAGTGAGACTAACTCGGAAAAAGACGACATTCTTATCTGCTCCCAGTCCAGACGTTTAGAACGATGGGTGGAACACTGTAAGGAGCAGTTCAGTTGACCTTCAGCTACTCTACAACTACCCACCATTTCCAGACAGTGTGAATGGAACATTGAAGTAGGTCCACCAACTCTAGCTGAAGTTCAAAAGGCTATAGTTAATCTAAAACGAGAAAGGGCAGCTGGTCCAGATGGATTGGCTCTAGAGGTCTTTAAGGATGGTGGTCCAATCTTAGCGACTAGGTTGACCAATATTTTAGCTAAAATATGGGAGTTGGACGTAATCCCCTTTGACTGGTCACAATCACTTATCGCCCCAATATATAAGAAAGGGTTAAAATCATCCTGTGACAACCATAGAGGGATTAGTTTGACTAATATAGTATCTAAAACACTAGCCTCGATAATTTATCGGACGTCTAAGACTCGTGAACTACAAACACGAGAGAATCTGATTTCGCAAACTCAAGTGGTGTCCGTCAAGGCTGTCCACTTTCTTCATTTTTGTTTAACTTCATCATAGACCTCCTGATGGAAATAACATTCTCGTCGACTGAATTCTCGGGTATTGATCTCCTACCAGGAGGTTCACATATCGACTTGGAATACGCAGATGACATAGTCCTGTTTGGTGAAGACGCTGATAAAATGCGGTCTTTTGGTAGCACTGAGCAACAATGCCAGAATGTTTGGGATGCGCTTCTCTCCCTCTAAATGCAAGTTGCTGCTTCAGGACTGGTCTGCGTCAACACCTGAACTAAGGATAGGGAGTGAAGTAATCGAACGCGTCGACAACTTCACTTATCTTGGAAGTCTGATCAGCCCTAATGGGTTGGTGTCCGACGAAATCTCAGCACGGATTCGAAAAGCTCGTTTGGCCTTTGCCAACTTACGTCACCTATGGAGCAGGCGACATATCCGTCTATCAATTAAGGGTCGTTCCGTTCTACTATACGGCTGCGAAACATGGCCTTTAAGAGTAGAAGATACTCGTAAGCTGCTAGTATTTGACCACAGATGCCTTAGAAATATTGCTGGTATCTACTGGGATCACCGGGTAAGTAATAGTGAGGTTAGACGCAGGGTATTAGGGAATGATGGTAAATCAGTCGATGAGGTTGTGAATCTTCATCGACTGAGATGGTTGGGTCATGTGCTGCGTATGCCTGAACACCGATTACCACGAAGTGCAATGCTAACCGGTGTTGGAGATGTTTGGAAGAAAGTTAGGGGCGGCCAAACTAAAACGTGGCATCTATGGTTGAAGTCACTAACTTCTGGTCTGAGCCATGTTGGTAGACGCAGACTACTTGGTTGGGGTCCGCATGACTATCGTAACCAATGGTTGGAGACTCTTGGTGACATGGCTCAGAATCGATCGCAATGGCTTCGGTGTGTACACTCTTTGTCTTCCCTTAAACTAAGAAATTAAAATCGCTTCACATCATTCTTTCTACGAACTAATTCTTTCTTCCTGTACTATCTCCTTGTATGCAATCCTTTTTCTATATATTACCACCATTGAATTAACCACTTCTATGAATCCGGTGTTCATCTTGTTGTGCTAATGCGGTATGGCAACTTAGACCGATGCATATATGTGCCTGGTCCTACGTTGCAGCTGACTGACTGACTAAGCAGGCCAGTTGAATTGCCCTTCGAAGAATTCTGCCCACCGTCCAAGACGTCGATGGATGTTAGTGATTGGCATCCCATCATCCTCACAGATTGTTTCGTTCACACCAGACTTCTTGCTGCCAGTGGCTCGGATGAGTTGGAAGAGCTTCCGGTAGTTACCAGATGCAGCTGCTGCTTCCAGCTCATTAGCAAGCTCCGATCACTAGGCTTCTCGATCCTTACGCAAGCTTTTCCCGATTTCAACACGTAACAGCATTCATTTGTGGTTGAACTTATGGTCACCCAGAGCAGACCGACGGGATTAGATGAATTGTAAGGAGCCTGAAGAAACCCAGTGCTTATAAGCGGGACGTTCCGCGAAGCCACGAGCGCCTTTACTCGCCATTATGATGGCGTCGTGAAGTTGCAAACAATGCTCATTTATACTTTTCGGTGGAATGGTAGCTAGCTCAGTTCGATACTTACTAGCAATAGAAGTTGCAACCAACCTGCTGACATCAATCCTCTGGTGACGGTCACTTCGTTGGCCACTGAAAAGGTAAAATTGGCGCAGACCAGAGTCCAGATGGGTACTCCAAAAGGAGCGGCAGTCTTGTAGACAACCACGCCAGCGGTAGCTGATCGCGATGTGATCAATTTGAGTTCAGGCTTGAGATTCAGAAAGATAGATTAAGCCGTCACTTGACGTCTCCAATCACTGATTGGAGTTATGATGTGGACCCCAACAGATAGTCTGGATCGATCCGTATGGCTCAGACTTTATGGACTATGTTGTGACGGGTGGTGTCCAAAATCTGATACACGGTGTGCTATGAGCTAACCCATCAACTGACTATTTCAGTTTGAACACAAGGGTGAGCGAGGAAGTGTATTGGACTACCGAATAAAATGTACATATACTCATATATATATATATATATATATATATATATATATATATATATATATAAATTCTTGGGAAAATAGTCTGTTTCTTAGGCAATGAGATACACTTGTCCTTTAGGTTATTTCTGATTGCCGTCAAATGGCCTTTTAGGTAAGCTAATTCTGATAGGCTCACAATATCGGACTGGTGGCACGTTTTAAATTTGCCGTACTTTGTCATCTGACCTAGTATATATTAGGAAACATCGCCCGTCGAGGTATATGGTGGCTAAAAATGTCCTAACTACCCCAATCGATGATGATTCACGACCACATCAACCAATTATTAGACAATCCAATACTAAGATACACAAATGGCGAGTAGTAGAAGACCAGTTACAACGTAGAATCCCGTACGTATGTACATTGGTTCAAGTCGCCATACCCCAATTAGCGCTGAGATGAAATTTTCAGACCAAATCCCAGAATAAGAGGTAGTAACAGTATCAGTGGCAACGGAAAAGATTAGACATAGAAAATATGATCTAAGAAAACACAAATTAGTGAGATAAAAATTGTGGAATTCAGAACCTTAGAATCTGAGGGAAAAGAATGGACGTACTTGCGGCATTACAAACGACTTTGAGCCAAATCATTCAGTCTTTAAACATTGGTTATGATAATCACATGAACCCCAACCAGGTAGTCCACATTTATTAAGATGGCTCAGTGAAGTTGTCGGTGACTTCATGGACTGGTGCCATATTTTGGTTTGGTCACCCATAACTTTCAGCCTACTCCTACACAAGGCAATATCGACCGTCGAGGTAGGCGATGGGTGGACATATGTAACACGTGTCCCAACTACCTCGGTTGATGAAAATTTACCACATAATCAACCGATTTGCCATCTTTACCTAGAACCCTATTCCCAACCCAGGGATCGGTTACCCGGTGGTCCCAAAACACATGAATAGTACTTCAAAGACACCCATAATAGAATACTAATAACTCGAGAATATTTTATATCTTTAAAGGCCGTGTTTTACGCTTATAAAGTAGAACACAGCTGAGCAGTAAACTCGTCCTTTGATTGGAAGATGGATATCTCCCCTACGCCACAATCGATGGAATTCGGCAAAAGCCGATCGGGTCTTTTGAATCCGTGGTAGGGTTTTGTCAGACACCAGACCATCAGGACTGATCAAACTCCGAAGACAGAAGAAGCGGTATGCATCCAACTGCTTCCCTCTCTGCCATTAAATAAGATGTCACAAGCCAATCCTGAAGCGACATTTTGCATTTGGGGGGGAGCCGTATCACAAACATGCTTGCGTTACTACTTAGGGCGATCGGAAGACTGAGTTTTTTCAGCTTAACTAAACAGAACTACACCGTCTACGTATTCTAAGTCAACAAATGAGTGGTCTGGTACAGGATCAATCCCTAAAAAGTCAACGATGACAGAATTATCTCTAAAAGTACGTCTATGACAAAGTAAGGTAAAAATGGGGAAAGCGGAAAACTTTGACGAATATCACTTGAAGTAATCAATTCCTATGAAAGTCCACCAGAAACTGTGAGTCGACCAGTAGTGTTCAAATAGGGAGTCTGTACAAGGTTGTCGTACTTCTTTGGAACACCTTTCAATGAGACCGCCATAGAACCTCATGGTCAACAGTCAAACGTCGCCTTAAGGTCGAGGAATATAACTACTATCGGACGTCGAAAATCAAGTGTGCGTTACAGAATCTGTTGAGGAGTGAGTATTTGGTTCATACATCCAAGTCCAGGTTCAAGTATCACTGGTTCACCAACTTCATAAACTCCCCATTGGATTACTACAAAAAGTTATTGTTAGACCGTTGATATAATTATTTACAAAACACTGGTTATAGGTACGACTGGATGGAGTAACAACCAGCTGAAAAGTCAAGCTAATTTGAAAAAGGACTTTTTAATGAATTAAACAGCCATTACATAATTCGTATCAATAGAACACTATTTGTCAAATAGACAATATTTATTAAATACACAAGCTACGAAATACTAATGTATATATGGGCTGCTGTTGCTTATCGTTTTAGTCAGGTATTTTATGAGACAACCATTACACAGAATGTCAGAATAACAATTGTGCCTAGATTATTAAATTAACTATCCATATAAACTTATATTTATACCTGATTTTTCAAAAAGACCTGATTAACATTTACTCTATTTTGTCAACCAAAATTACTAACAATTAAAATTAGTCTAGACAGCATATTCCGAACTTAAACTTTCTAATCTATGTTATGTTAATATTTTGTTATGAACCACAGTTCATATAGACAAAAGATAGTGACTGAATAGAAATCCCTTCCTCATGCTGCTTTGTGTATGCAACTAACTACATAAGCATTTTTAAATTTTGAAAATTACTAAACGTGATAGAAAATAAGTGGCTAAACATTCACCCCTAGTTTAAAAAAAGTCGATTTTTGTCTGAAAATAAACTTTATTTGTAGATGGGTAACTTTAGTGAAGGAACCAGAATCCATAGACATAAAATAGGTATATTTGTCTCGTCCTAATTATTGGATGAGAACAATCAAGTAACCAAACTTGTCTTATATTTCGTTCGCTAGAGCTCTAAATGTATGTGATAATCGTTGTCTGGTTTCTTTGCAAGGAAATCTGAATCGTGATGAGATATTCAATGTAGATGTAGAAAACTAGAACACAATGAGAAGTGGGTTTCAAAAGACAATGAAAGCTATTCCATGGTCGAGTCAGTCACTAGCCGCAAAAATGAATGAAGTTGGAAGAAAGGTAGTGGTAAACACAAGAGAACAAGCTAGTATAGAGTACTAATAGCAACCAAATGAATCCCTTGTTAGTTGGGTATATCGTCAACGTACGATATAGCATGAATATATATATATATATATATATATATATATATCACATCAGCGTATCGAGAATAAATCAACAAGATGAAAAGCGAAGGATGGGAAGAATTGTAGACAACAATGGAGGTCTAAGTATCGGAAATGCATCTCAAAAGGACGGAACTTGAGGATGAAGAATGGGGAATGACATTTAAATCAAGACTTAGAGTAGGATAGATGTATTCTCAGACTGGAAAACATGTTTGAATGAACAAAGTAATGATATGAAAAAATTACCGATTCACTGGACTCTAGTTGGCGCTGATATATATTCCAAACATTAGCTGCGATTGCGGCTTTAGATCGCTCACTATCACCAGCAAGGCTCGTATAGGCAAGAAGAACACCTTCAGGATTAAATAACATAACTGACTGTATTCCGCCAGTATTCATCTTTCTTAAGGCAGAAGTAAGAGCACGTGGGCGGAGCATCTGGAATAAGGTAATTACTTAAGTTGTGCATTTGACGTAAATTTCAAAGATGAAACATCATCTAAGATAATCACTTCTTATAAAATCGAAGAACAACCAGATTAACTTTAATAAAGCCAGATTTAAATACTTAATATGTTCAAAGCTCAGTTATGCAGTTTCCACGAAAAGTGAAAAAATGTATGGTTGCTTTTTGCAACTATATATCGTTAACCAATATTACAAGGATCATTGAAGTATTGATTGAAATGAAGGAAATTGGTTTTGCTCTTGGCAACAAAGATGACCAACATAAATGTTAAAATGAAAATTATCCGTTGACTTAGAAAGACTTGCTATCAGCACATGTTCTCAATACTTGTGCGTACAACAATTTGGCCATTATTAACATTAACTTGTGATAAGCGACAACTGTTATATGCCTTGATACAGAAGACTACACTGATTTATGCACGGCATGAACTGCCAAATCTCCATGGATTAATCCAATTAGTAGCTTTCAGTAACCCTCATAAGGTTTCCAGAAACCTATTCCAGCTTACTTAAGAGTAGAGATTCTGACCAGTATTTGTGGACAGAAGATATAATTATGAAGATTAGTCCATAGATTTGAGTAGTATTTTTCAAGACCGTCCAAATGTCAACTCCAAGATAATCAATAATTAGCATTTGCGAAAACCAAGCATTTTAGCACAGAACCTAGTCCAGCCAGTTTCCCTCCTTTAAAAACCAATTTGTTAAGATGAACAAAATATCATTTTAAAACTAGCTTATGTTGTTGTCATAACACTAGGACGACTATATAGTAGTTTATTAAGATTACTGACGATTTCTGAAAGGTAATTTTGAGTGATCGTTCAAAACAATTCTAACATCAAGTATCTATATACTCAGAATGCCAATGGATTACCTGTGACAATTCACTTACGTATGTACTATCAAGAAAAAATCCGAATCGCGTACCTTTCACTTGGTTGTTTACTATTAGTTGGTTTTCAAGGTTCAAACTGCAAAATTTTCTCGGTAGAATTAACTGATTGTATGTTCGTAGGAATATGTATCAAGGTAGTAGGAGAATATTCTCGGTCACGGGGAAATATAATTCTTGTAGTATTCTTACCAGAAATTCGGAATTTCGGGTTAGATTTTCTTACTGAAAACAGAAAGTCGACGAACTGTGTTAGTCGCTTTTACTAAACATCTGTTAGTGTCCGGTGCTCTCTTGAATGAGTCAGGTAAAGGTTTAGGGACTACGTCTTCCATCAATAGGTTCTGAGGGTAGATGATTTGTTGTGAAAACCTGTGGGGTAGATGTATTGTGTTCGGTCTTGGCTATTGGACTTGCTTGATATGTCTTCTGAGTTGTCCTGATCTGGTAAAAAGGGATGGATAAAATATGTCGGACCTGAAATCATCTCCAAGAATTCTATACATTTAAATTAGACTACGCCCTAATCTGAGGTGAAGCAGAATTAAGAGGTCTAAATTCTAAAGCGGCCCTGAGTAAGAAGAAAATGTTCTGATGCTGTCTAAAGAAGTATGTAAAGCACTTGTAGGATGGAAATCTCATGGACCCAAGATCATCAAATCATCTTTCAAAACAAAGGAGGGAATCACAATGAGTGTTGTCTAGTGTTATGTACACACCAATGGTAGTAACGACGACGATAAAGATCAGTTTTTCGAGAGGCTGAAATCGATTGCAGCAGTGTTCAGGAAACAACCTGGCAATCTTGATGACAGACCTAAACGCCAAAGTCGTGGTGGACAATACCGAGTATCGAGATATTACGTGGTGACATGGACTAGCTGGGAGAAAGGAACGAGAATGGTGACAGATTTACAAACTTATGTGCATTCAACAGAATGATTACGGCTAGCACCAAATACCCCTACAAACACATACACAAAGCTACATAAGTCTCGCCGGACCACACCACGGAGAACCAGACAGATCATATTCGCATTAGTAAAACTTCGCAAGCTCAATGGAAGATGTGAGAAGTAGGAGAGGAACTGACATAGCTTCAGATCGCCACATGGTTGTGGCCGAGATGAAACTGAAGCTAAAGAAACATTGGACAACCCCATAAACAACGGTGGAGCTATTCAACACAGCCCTCCTTCGGGATATTGGTAAATAACCGAATTCAAAATAGTTCTGAACAAAAGGTTCCAAGGTTTGCAGGATCTACTAAAAGAAGAAGAAACTACAATGGAGGACAACTAGGAAATGGATTAAAGAAGCACTAACTTCAACGTGTCAGAAGGTGATGGGCCACAAGAAGTATCATAATAAGGAATGGATCTCTAATGAAACCCTGGACAAGATTCAAGAAAGGAAGAACAAAAAGATGGTAATTCACAACAGTCGAACAAGGCACAATCTGATTACACAGAAGCAAACAAGATAGTGAAAAGCAACTGACAAGCAGAAATATGTGGAAGACCTAGAAACGGCAGTGGAAAAAGCTGAAAAATGAAGAATTATAGAGCATCCACATGATACAACAAAGAAACTTGTAGTAGAATATACCGAACTGAATGAACCGGTCAAGAACAAAGAAGGTGAGACTTTCGTGCCTTATGGTAACCCTCGCGTTATTAATAGAAGAAAGCAGACTCGTAAGGAAATAGGTCTTTATTTTTATCTTCGCGCAGTCACAGTGGAGCGTGGGGTTCTTTACTCAGACAAACAAAACCTCTCAACAAGCAATATAAGATAGATAGAAATATAACGCCTAAACGAAATAAAGAAGTGAATAAATATCTGAACTATACTGTTTTGATACATGCTTAGTTGCTTGAGATTAACTCTTGACAACCGACCTAAGCTGTTACAAGACAACCAGCGAGATTCAATAACAGAGTGAAGATGCCACGATACGGCGAGTCAGTGTAGACAACGATGTGACTTCCACGTAGGATCTTATGGATTAAGCAGTCACATCATGACATATCTACAATTTTAGGACTAGATTTATTATAATAATCGTACTAATAACGATGTAGACCATAATTCTACAAAACTGGCGGATACCCAACTTCGAGATCAACAGTTCGGATTTCGCGAGGATCGCTCGTGCACAGACTGAATCACCATACTACGGATCACAGTTAAACAATAAGTTTAATGGAACTCGTCACTATACACCAACTTCCTTGATTAGGAGAAAGCATTTAACAGTGCGGATAGGAGAACACTATGGAAACTTCTTTGGCACTATGAAGTATCTGAGAAAGTCTTGAACATTACCCGGAATTCTTATGACGGACTACACAACTGACAGACGCATTCCAAGTGAGGGCCGGAATCAGACAAGATTGTATAATCTCTCCATTTCTTTTTCTTTTGGTGACTGACTGGATTATGTAGACCTCTACATCTGACGAGAAGCACAGAGTACAATTAACAGACTTGATGTAGCTGGACGATTTAGACTTCGCAGATCATCTAGCTCTTCTGCCTCACACACACGGACAAATACAAGTCAAGACAACTAGTGTAGCAGCATTCTCTGCACCAATAAGCTCCAATTGCTAGACCCTTAAACACAATGTGGAGAACACCAACATAACCACACTTGATGGAGAAAATTTGGAAGAGGTGGAAACTTTCACATAATCTGTAGCATCATCGATGAACATGAAGAATCTGGTGCAGATGTAAAGGCAAGGTCGGAAAAACAAGGATGGCATTCCTACAGTTGGAGAGCATATGGAACTCAGAACAACTATTAGGTACAGTTCTACTGTACGGAGCTGAGAACTGGAGCACTACTGCGACCATAATGAAAAAGGTACATGTATGTATAAACAATTGTCTACATAAGATACTCAATGTCCGTTAGTCGGATACCATCAGCAACAGCCTACTATAAGAGAAAACAAACCAGCATCCAACTAGAGAGGAAATTATGATAAAATACTGGAAGTGGATAGGACTCACATTTCGGAAATCACCAAACTGCATCACGTGGCAAGCGGTAACTAGTAATCCTGAAGGGAAACGGAAAAGAGGAAGACCGAGGAATGCACTGTCGGTAATTGAAAGTGGACGCCAGAAAAATGAACAGCCACGATAGATAACTGGTTAGCATTGTCTAGAACAGATTTGGATGGAGAATGCTTGTGGGCGGCTTATGCTTCTCTATGAGAGGTACCAGGCATAAGTAAGTAATTAATGTTTAATGAAACAATGCCTCTTATCTCGACGTTCTGATGACTTGCCCTAGGTGACAAAATTTTATCGGTTCTACGGGTGATGGATACATAATTTTTACGCCGTTACCTACAGTATCGAATCTGTTGCTTTGGCGCAGCTGAAAGTCGTGATATGGATTTTACTAACAGTGATGATATTGGTAGGCTTGGTTTCACAAAACTCCATCACGCTTGGGTGTATATTGCACAATAGCTTTTTGAGTGCGCTAATCCAGTTCAGTTTTTAGCGGGCCCTCTGACAGATCTTCCGTGATGTTCTTAAACTTGAGAAGCTAAAATTTTCTCTAGCACTTTCCAAAATATTTGAGTCTAGAACTTTATTCAAATGTGAGTATTACTAGATTTGGACCGTAGTCATTATGTTTAGGTCAAATAATGGTCGTGATTTTTCTAAACTTTAATATTCGAATGAGGACGTCAATGTTTATGTTGGTGTTGTGTTACTTCCCCAGATGGTTTGATTGAGTTGTCTTAGTAGTTTCAGGCAATATAGTCAGCGCTCTCGTCTTGTTATAACACGTTGTAACACTTAACGGAATAGCTATCAAAAGTAGGCTAACTGATAGACTTGATTCATCGTTTCTGACTAAAACTGGGGGTCAAATCCATGTACTTTCACCCCAATTCACACAGTTGAGTCCAAAACGGGAGATCTAGTTTTCATTGGGTTCATGACGTCCTTGTGTGTAAAAGCCGACTAAAAGCCATATGACATGTGAGAGATCATATGTAAGCCATGTAACCTATCGGGGCTTTTAGTTAAATGACTTTTTTCGGTAGGAAAGACAGTTGTATAGAAACCCATGATTCCTGCAAATCTTATACAGTTTAGTACTTACTGCTCACTTTTCGTTCTTTGTACCAATGAATACAACATGTTGAAACCAGTACGTTTATTCATTCATATGAGGATGGAATTTATGGTTCTGGTTTATTTATCCTGTTGGGTCGTTCACCTTAGTTATAGTTCTTTGACATTGTATTTCTTTACTGCCAAGTATTCTCGGATAGTTTAATTTGCTCCACTGGTTCTCAAACAAAAACTCGGCTTGGACAGAATGTAAATATATTTCAAAGCAATGCACAAAATTACGTCAATTAAGAAAATATCAATATATACGTAATCTCTAGGCGGGAATATTTTAGACTTTTCTTAGCCCATCTATCATATGCGATTGACAAAAATATGGGACAAATAACTCGTTCCAACATTGTCTTACCTGGAACATGATCCAACTAAGTCCCAATCCTACTAACATTTGTAGTGGCTTCGGATCATAACCACACAATCCTCAAAGCTGAACACGAGACTACTCGGAAAATAGATATTCAATATTTAACGCGGAGGAATACCCAACAATGGAGAAGGCGGGAATAAGGAATTGAATAAATCGGAATTGATCGGATGGCATGGCTCGGCCACGCAGGCGTGGTCCCTGCTCAATCTCACCTTATATATTTTATTCATATGAAATATATTGTTCCATCTCTAGCCTGAAATTCTTCTCCTTCATCTGTTGGTAATTGTTAAGATGCAATGAAGTGGTGTAGATAATAATGTGACTTCCACGTGAGATCATATAGGTTAGGCAGTTGCATCATGACGAATCTACAATTTTAGGATTAGGTCTATTATTAGAGCAGTGCTAATAACATAGTAGACCATAATGCTACACACTTGTCCTATCTGACGGTTATCTTGCTCAGAGA